CTAGATGTTGTTAGTTTGTTTACTAATAATAGTGAAACTTTAATCATAAATGCAATAAAACATTTTTAGAAATTCTTGAATGGTAAAATCAATGTTTCTCTCAATGAATTTCGCACAGGTGTATCTTTAATTTTGAATTCAACTCTTTTCCATTTCAAGAACAAATTTTATAAACAAGTTTTTGGCTCTCCAATAGGCAGTCCCTGTAGTCCAGTACTGTGTGATCTTGTAATGCGTTTGCTTGAAATTTTATGCTTAGAGAAGTTATGTTTTGATGTTCCACTGTATATGCGATATGTGGATGATATTCTCATATGTGTGCCTACTAAATATATTAACTATACTAAAAACATTTTTAATAGCTATTGTCCGGAATTACAATTCACTGTTGAGACGTGCAACAACAACAGCATCAGTTCCTTGGATTAAAAAATTATCATTCAACAAAATAACACAGTGCTAACTAATTGGTACCAAAAACTCACACATTCAGACTGATACTTGAATTTTCACTCCCACCATCCAACACAACATAAAATAGGTATCATTTACACATTAGTAGACTTTTCCATTAAATAAGTAGACACTGAATTTCCCAACGATAATTTAAAATTAATCAATAAATTTTTACTAGCTAACAACTATTCTCAAAAATTTATTGATAAATTTTTAAACAAGAATAAACACTTGCACGGTCGTATTAGATATTTTTGTAAGAAGCTTCACATTGGTCTTGTATACAGTTTAAACAATAAATTGAATTCGATCTTTTCGCTTGGAAAAGATGTAACTGAGCCACTCGATAAAAATAATATCGTTTACCACATACCATGTGCGAATTGCAACTGCTGTTATGTCGGTCAACCATCGAGAGCTGTAAAATTAAGAATGGCAGAACATAAAAGAGACATAGAGAAAAAAAAGGATACATCTGTACTGTCACAACATAGCATTGAATTTACACACAACTTCAATGTTGATACAATAAAAATTTGAGACACAGAACAAAATTGTAAAAAGCGCGTGTTTTCCCCAATGTTAAATATACATTATTTCAATAATAATATTAATAGACAACAAGATACAGAAAAATTGAAAAATTGTTACAAGTCTCTCGTTAAGTCAATTAAGAAAGGAGGCTAACTTGATATACATGATTTGAGGGCCCCTTTCATTTATGGTATTAGGAAAACATGATCTGTTTACGCATGTCTCACAAGGAACTGCTTGCGATTCTTATTTGATTGTATTATGTGCGTATACTGTGTCATTTGTGTATGTGCAGAATATAAAAGCAACGAAACTTGAAACTCTGACTACATTACGATTTTACATCCCCTTCGTAAGAGTCAGAGGTATATTATACACTTTATTTAATTTGCGTTTATTGTACTTATCAAAATTTGTGTTGTAAAGAATTTTTTTATTACCCATAGATTTTTGTAACTGATGAGGGCTGGGACATTGTCCAAACGGCCGAAACGTCGTTTTGTTTTTTAATAAATACAAAATTTGACAGTACCACCATTGGACGTTATTTAAATAATAAAAAAAAATTAAGAAATTTAAAGTATTGTTTGAACATCAGTACTGCCTTGCCTTATTTTGCAATAAATTTTTTTTAGTCTTGCCAACGTATAGTAATAAAGTAAAATTGTAGCAGAACAAAGTGAAAAAACTGTCTCCAAAATACATCAATTTCTGAAAAATCTAAGCATTGAAACTAAATAAAATCAAATTTTAGTGGTGAGAAACTTAAAATAGATCGATCCAGGCGATCTTAAGATATCACTCATTAAAATCTTACGGGTACACATAAAGCCGAAAATTTGTGTGAGAGTTCCGATTGATCCGATGTTCGATAAATCTATTTATAAAATTTTATCTCAATTTTCCAGTCTTCGTTAGTTACGAAGCTCCTGCAAGGAAGCAAAACAAAATGCTGAGTCAGCTTCTCGATACTTGTCCATCGACACCTACAACTCGCGCCCTAACTTTACCAGTCAACTACAAACACATGTATACGTATAATGACATTTTCATAGGTACATCAGCCTGCTCCGATCGAACTCACCACGAGCAGATATAATTTCTCGATCGAAACTGATAAACCCTCTAACGTAACGACTGTGACTCTAATCCGCACGGTAATTATATTTGAAATATCACTCGCATCTATGTAGCCGGACGGTTGAAAAAGTTACGTAATATCGTAAAAAAAACAACAATTTTCCATTCAAAGGTAGATTTTCTGGAAAAAAAGTAATACCTATACGGGGAACCAAGAGTAAAGACACAAAGCGCAACGAGCGTATTTTCGCAGCGTAACGGCTACCGCGTGAAGTTACCGTGCACTCGGCTCTTTTAAATATTGTTGTATCTACGAGCTGATATGCATTGTGTGCCTGTGTCATAGTCTATACTGGCGTTGCGCAATCGCAGGTTTATTATTGTAATTATACTTCCTGGCTCCGTGAATATGCAAAAATATATGCTGTGTCGCGTTGTTCGCACGTGTCGTGGCTCAACGTGACGGACCAGATTTCGGATCATCGCTTTTAATGATTTTACACGAAATATTTTATTCTTGGAAGAAATAGTCCATGTTTCAATATAGCTTTCAATGTAAGATGAAAGTAATTTTAACATCTATGTACACGTGAGCTCGTTTGGGAGCTCTGATTTTTTTCACCATTTTCAGAGCTTTTGAAAACCCGCAAAAAATTAACTCGGGAATCTATTATTAACGTTTTTAGTCGTTCTTGTGTAACACGCTCGTGGTATGTTTTACATTTTTTTTTCTTCTGAAGATACAGTACGTGATATTAATGTGCGTGACAAATATTTACTAAAGGCGCTTATTGTAGGGGCGTGAAATCGTCTTCGCTAGTGTAAATAATTATTACTTATCACAAACAAGTTTTTTATCACAAACGCATAATGATGCCGGTCTTGAATCGTAAATACTAGTGTACTTTCGTGGATTTTTTTTTTTTTTAAGTATAAATGCTACTTATGTGTTGGGCGGCTGAAAACATTTTTCATTTTTCTAAAATAAATTTGACGAATAGTTAATAAAAGAACTAATTCTTTCTTTGCATTTGATAAATAACGTCAAGTAGCAAAATTCATGCTTACAATACGAGCACGTGATTAGTGAGTACTGATACCTTTTTTCTCACTTTTCCTGTTCCGTCAAAATATGTAAATTTTACAGTGCAAGAATACATTTTTATATTTACAAATTTAGCAAGATTCTTTTATTTATTCAAAACTTAATTGAAGAATTTTCTTAATTTCTTAAGTAATGAAAACAGTAAAAATATCTTGAGCTTAACTCTTTTGCTAAACTGTACCTCATTAAAAAAAGTATTAATGTTCCAAAAAAAATTGAAAAACTTATGGGTTGTCAGGTTGATAACAATTAAATTCCACAAACCATAACCTCAGCTCAGAATACACTAGAAGTAAACATACCAAAATGTAATTTACCGTAATAATTAAAAAAAAAAAACGTTATCGGAAAAATTTTTACCTTTGTATTGACAACACTTCGGCTAGCAATGTTAGAAGCTATAGGGCTGCAAAAAACTTGACGGTGTTCTCGTTTGCTCTAAAAAATGAATAGTATATTAGGGTGAGATTACATGGAGTCTGGCAGTCTGCAGACTGGCAGAATCGCGCTAAGTTTAAAAATATGTTTCAATATTAATATTTAAAACCTGTTACGTAAGCAAAGAAATAATTATCGTAATACATTTGCATTTCTGTATTAACTAATATTTATGAAAAAAAAGGCGACGAAAAACGTTTTGTCACAGTTACATATTGTTANCACTGGTAGCTACACACGCACGATGATTCACCCCTTAAATCGGTCCGACTCTCCCCCTGCATGAGTTGCATGACTCAGCATGAATCCGTAGGCGGGTGAAAGTGACGTGACCGTCCGATAACAGACCCATTAGCTTATAAAAGGATAAAGGAGCCGGGGACTAACGGAATCAGTTCAGTGTAAGACCTGAAATTCTGTCGAGGTCATTCGGGTCTGATTGAGTGCTCCGATGCACGCGATCGAGTTCAGTAGGTCGACGGTCATCCAAGGTACGCGAACTGTGGTGTTACATTCTCGTCACTTTAAGATGTGCTTGCGAGGGCCAATCTTGAACCCGATCACATGTACTTATATGACGTAGGTGTCTATAAGTATATACTCAAAATATTAAGTAGATCCCCTGGATCTGATTGCGAGTTCGCAGTGTCTCAAAAACTGCCGCGAGTTTAGTGGTCATTGTGAGCGACTATATGGACAATAAACTATCCGAATGGTGGATTTGGTTGAGTTAAGTGACGGTACTATCGCCCGACAACCTAGACATCATCACCGTGGGGTTTTGGAATTACCAGGGATGATTTTTCCTGAGGATGCTGACTACGTTCCTTTTCTTATGCCAAGGACCTGGACGCCTCCGACATCCATACCGTCCACGACCTTGCACAATATGAACTCGTGAAACGAAAAAAATCCATCATCCAGGACTATAGGTACAGAACTTCCAGTAGATGGATTACGACATCTAGGTGGAGATAGGTCACAAATCATAATTACTCACAAGTGTCACAATCACAACACTCGGAGACTAAAGGTGATGAACAAAAAAAAATAATAATAATAATAATAAAGAAAATATAATTTACAAAAACCAACCTCCAGTGGGACAATAAACAGCATGTATATACAGACTTTTAGGAACATTTGCTTGATTTGCTTTTATCAGTTATCGGTCGAGTCGAGTCGGTATAAAAACACCAGACTTGCTGGCAAGCGGCAAGGTAGGTAGGTATACCTACATACATATATATGTATGTACCATATACTGTACCTAGAAAGATGTATACTGTACATTAAGCAAAAGAGCAAGCGTGGGATCTCGGTAAATAAAAAAGCAGTGCAGTTGCACTACTACTTATACTTATAATACTTAACTATAAAAAGTAGTGTGCCTAGCAGAGATTAATCTCTGGTCAGCTGGTGCCGCGTGCGTGCGAGTTGCGTGGTGGTACCGCCGCCGAAGATCGACCGCGCGGGCGGTATCGCATTAAAGAAAAGAAGTAGTCTCACGTCGTCGTCGAGTCGAGAGAGACACATAGTCAAAAAGAATTGACCCATCATAGCGCAGCGCGTGTACTTACTTATCGTCGCGTACATCGTTTATTCTTTTTTCTTTTTTTTTTCCCTCTCCCGAAGAAGTGCCGCGTAGTCAATCGATATCATCTCTTGAGAGTGAGAGATACCCGTGAATTTCGTGCTGATCGTCCCCGGTAAAATTGTGCGCGTATATATAATATTGCAAAGGTACATCGGATCTTGAAAAAGGCTGTGATTTTCATTGAATCCTACAACCAGCGAGTCTATACACCTGTACACATATTATTTATATATACATACACCCGTTATACCCAAGTAATAATAAACATCAGTGGATTGCAGACGGCCCATGTGTCAAACGACAGTAAAAAAAGGAGCAGCAGTATAGCTTGAACCATGGTGCAAATCAAGGAATTGTAAGTGCCTTCAATATCTAATTGCACTGGGTACACGAGTACCTCTGAGTGGCGGAAAGTTTAGTGCAATGCAGAGCCCATGTACAACGTGTGCTCTAGCTTTCATGTGTATACTTGTCCATGGGTGTATACATAATCCATATAGAGAATTGAATGTCTAGTGGATGATTTTTACCAGTGATTTCAGTGTCAGTATCAGGGCCACCCATCAGGCGCCCCTTTGATCCCCCAAGGTTTTCTCTCTCTTCTCTTGGTCCCCCCCCCCTTCTCCAGTTCATGCCTTGCTTTGCCTCACCCTCTCACGCCTGCTCGGCCGATCGTTACTCCAAAATTCGTTGGAGGCTATAACCTATATCATCATCAACCACACGCGCACTCTCTGCATGCTATTTGCTATGCTCCCTCCCTGGTGATGCACCCCCCGCAATAAACGTGATACTACATATCGACCATGTCCTGTGTCCTCCTGACACCCGATCCATTCGAACGACCACAAAAGGGATGCTTTATTTTCTTTTCAGCGTACACCTTATACCTACCCTCGTTCAATAAATATACCTACTTATTGGTAATCTTGTGTTTTTAAGAGAAAAAATTTTTAAGTGACACGCCGACGTTTCAACATCTGTTGAGATAGACACGTTCTGATAAATTTTCTCAACAGATTATTAATTCACTGCTGCGTGAGTGAGAAAATAATTAATGCGTGACGAATTGATACGAANAAAAAAAAAAAAAAAAAAAAAAAAAAAAAAAAAAAAAAAAAAAAAAAAAAAAAAAAGTAAAGAGAGAGAATCTTTGGATATTGGAGGCGGGCTTGTGTGTCAAGGCCACATGCACACACATACAGGCACGATTGTAGTCCTCCATGTCCAAGTCTTGTATATTTTCTGAGGTCCACGTGTATACAGTATTGTCGACCTTGAAATGTTTTTTGTCACCAATGTAATGACCGTTTCGTTGAGTAACGTCTTTTTTTTTCCTTTGCTTTGTTACAGCCGTGTCACCCTGCCCCTGACCGTTGAAGAGGTATGTATACATGCACATATTTTTACAGTAGTCATTGCATGAGATTTCTTTTTTTTTTTTTTTTTGTACTAGCTTCGAGCAGGGGTCTAGGTTGATTAGCAGCAGAGCAATAATGTCAGATGAGCTTGCAGTATTCAACACCTGCGATTCATCTGACATAAACGCTGTTTGTCAGCCTCAGCACTGATTAGCACTTTTTACTCTCGGCCAGTGCTATGCATCAATTAAATCCTTTGCTTGCAATTTCAAGATACTCGTACTTGGGATGAAATCTGGAGCCTCGACGAGTAAAAAGTGTTCCAATCATTGCTCTAGACTCTCATGCTTATTATCAAACCGTGATTTTGACATTTACATAGCTGTCTCTTCGATGCTGTCGTTGAGTAAAAAGTATAGGTTTTTTTTATTACTGCAGACATCTATATTCAAAGTGTATTAGCAATGCTAACTTCTTTCCTTAAATTTACGATTCAAAATATAATTGCTATGATAACTTTGCTATAGACTTTTTTTTTAAATGACACTTGAGACCAACAAAGAAGAAAATTTATTTTAATTTGCAGTATCAAGTTGCCCAGTTGTACTCTGTGGCGGAGGCTAGTAAAAACAACACAGGCGGAGGTGAGGGTATCGAAGTGAGGAAAAATGAGCCATTCAAGAATGTTCCACTACTTGGTGGAAAATACACCTCTGGCCAGTATACGTACAAGGTGTACCACTTAGCAAGTAAAGTGCCTGCTTTTATTCGCATGGTGTTGCCCAAAGGCTCCTTGGAGGTTCACGAGGAAGCATGGAATGCCTACCCTTACTGCAAAACAGTTATAAGCGTGAGTATCAATTGTTTTCATCTTTTTTATCCTTTCGTAACTCAACTTGAAGTATTTATTATTTTGCAGAATCCTGGTTACATGAAAGAAAACTTCTTTATTGTGATAGAATCTTATCATATTGGGGACACCGGTGACCAGGAAAATGTGAGTAGCAAAAGCCAAATATTACATATTTATTTTTCAATCAGTTTTTTTTTTTTTTTTATTCTAACGACTGATGCTCTTGCTCGGAATGAACATCTTATCGGCACAATGTTCAAGGAATATCGTTACTTTCCTCTCACTTCTAGTTTACACGTGAGATTTTGATTTTAAAATTAGAAATGACTCACAGTTGAGTCATGCAGTGGAGCAGTAACAGCGCAAACAACATTAATCAAGTGTTGTTCAATGAAATAGCCAAGATAAATCTTTGCTTTTTAGGTTCACGAACTCCCACCCGATAAACTCAAAACAAGGGAGGTCGTGCACATAGATATAGCCAACGACCCAGTGTTACCAGCGGATTACAAAGAGGATGAGGATCCAACCAAGTTCAAATCGGAAAAAACCGGTCGGGGCCCCCTTGTTGAAAAAGACTGGAAGTACAATGTGTCGCCTGTGATGACCTGCTACAAGCTCGTCACCTGCGAGTTCAAATGGTTCGGCCTACAGAGCCGCGTCGAGAGCTTCATTCAGAAATCCGAGAAACGTCTGTTTACGAATTTCCACAGACAAGTTTTCTGTTGGATGGATCGCTGGCATGGACTCACCATGGAAGATATCCGAGCCATTGAAGACAAAACAAAAGAAGAATTGGAAAAGGTAACAAAATTTCAAATTTTATACGTCATTTCAAAAGTTTACGCTCTAATGAGTTTTTTATTTTATTCATTTGCAGCAAAGATTCCAAGGTGAAGTACGAGGAATGCGTGCTGATGATTGAGGCTCCGATAAGTACAGTGTAATAAGATTAAATGAATTTCCTTTCAAAGCAAAGAACGATCGTCAGACTTACCTTCACACACATATGTATACACTCAAAGCCATAACGCGGTCCTGCCGGATCGGGGCAGTTTCCAGAGTTTATCTGTCTAGATTCAGTGTCTAATCTAATTACTTACAATTTTAATTTATTTACATCTACAAACATTTTAGATAAATGTATTTATAGTTAAACAAACGAGAGAGTAACGTTATTGTGTTATCACTGATAAAGCAAAAATACAAAGAAAGAAAAAAAAAATGAAAAAAGTACAGGCATGTCAAAAGGCAGATACCATAAGGCAAATTTTGTGTTCACGAGACAAACACAAAAGCATTGGAGTTAGGGGTGACATAAAGTGACAAACGCAGTTTAGATAATTTAATTATAGTTAAAATATTAAATTAATGATTAATAGGTTAAAAATAATAATGAAAAAAAAAAAAAAAAAAAAAAAAAAAAAAAAAAAAGTAGTCAATGATATTAAGCAGCAGTTGTTGAAATGAGCAGATGAAAATTTGCTTTTTGCAAACGCATAAGTGATTACAAAAATGGATGAACGATCATCGACTTAAGAATTGAACGTGAATTGAATAAGAAATAATAATGCAAGCTGCTGTATAAATTCTCCGAAAGTGCTAAGTGTGTGATATGTAAACAAAGCTACAAACTAAAGGTAATTCAAAGAAAAAAGCAAAACTGTTGGGTGGAGGAAAAAAAAATAAAACAAATAGAAACATAAATATCTACAAAAGCACTTGATTCGCAGTATATGCAAAAAATCCATAAAAATAAAACAATATCTTGCGCCGTATGTCCTTAGAAAAATTGCTCCTTATTTTTTTAAATGCAAAGCTAAAGTAAATCAACCTGTGCGTCAAAGCACGAGTCTCCGCGACAGCAGCAGCAATAGTCTCGCGCATATTGCTGCCTACTACCGGATTAACCGAGAAACCATACCATACTTATTACGCTTTTCCACACTTGATCCGTGGATCTTCTTCTAATTGTCCGATTAAGGATAAATCTTTCTATTCTTTTAACGGAGAGTTTCAAATAAGGGGAGCCTCAGTATTTCAAGTAAATAATTATGATCGCGACACTTTAGGGGTGGTGATAGTTAGTGTCCAGTTGTGTTACAATTGCTTGTTGCAATTAAAGTATAAAATAATCGATATTGTATAGGGCGTTTTACAATGTAGGCAGAGCGAGAGTGTGAGAAAAATAATAAAGCATAGAGAGTTATTTTGAATCTCGGCGACATTTTAGCCCATCATAAACTTGGGATGTGTTGTACATACGTGTATATGAAAATCCACGGAAGCATACAATGAAATTCAGATTTTATTTTATTTTGCACGACAGTTCATTCTTCTCAAACGAATTGAGCAAATTTTTTATCTTTACGTCCAACTTTATGCGACTTTTTACTAGTTTGGCTCCATCCTCTTGGTACACCTAAAAACGTGATTATTTTTACAAAGTAAAGTTTTTTAAAAATGATTTTAGGTTGCCTACGGACCAAAGAAGAATATTAGAAAAAGTATTCTGATTTTCAATAAGAAGCTTACACTTAACTTGTATCAATTTTAAAGTTTAGAGCTTATGTAGATTCGACAGAATTGAAAAATTAACTGATCAGACCCCGAGTATGTTCAAGTATCTTGTCTACAGCATCTTTTTTTTTATTTGCCACTTTTTTTTCAGTCAATCGTAAAAAGCAGAAAAGAAGAGAGATAACACTCCACTGATCTCATTGAATTCAATATAGTTCAATTGTCATTTGCACAAATAAATCTGTAGACCGCGCCACTGGTAGACATGACAGCAGAGAAGCGAAAGAAAGTACTTGCAGAATACACTTGTAAAGTAGTTACTCGTATTTTATCGATGAAAGAAAAAAAAAAAAATATTTTCCGTGTTAATAAATGTCAAGTTTTAAAAAGTATTTTATCCAAACGAGAAAAAAAGTAGATGACGATAACGGTTCCTCTACCAATATGTGTACACTTGCTCGCATGCACTTTATTAATTGAATTCCATTGTATGTGTCATATATTGACGGAAAAATCAAGAGAAACGAACTGTCTTTACATCCTAAAGTAAAAAAAAAAAAAAAAAAATACCATCCGAGAAAAAAACAAGATTAGTTGTGTATAAATACATATAAAAGATATATATAAATATGAAAGAAAGAAAATATTAGTTGTTCCTCGTAATTTTAACACACAGAGGTCTCAAGTTACTCTCTGTTAGCGCTGCCAAAGGGCTGATTAAATGACGAATGAAACCCAAACAGTTAACGCACATACATATAAATGTATGTCTTGTGCAAGTTGAACGAAAATGAATAAACACACACGCGTATATATGTTTGTACAAATAATAAGTAATAAAATAAAGAATGTATATGTATATACGAGAAAGTATAAAAGAGTATACATGTCAGTCGTTTGGCCGATGAAAGATGATATAATAACGATGATGATGATGATGATAATAATAACAGTAATAAAGCCATGAAATAATAAAGTATAAAATTTATTGAATCCTCATGCGTTGTAGAAAAAATATAGCACAAACATCGTTCTTGCGTTCGCGTATGTATACATATTGTTACACAAAATACATGCGTATTTATCCACATTTACTGAAAATATGTTCGAACCACCAGCAACGCGATGGCGATTCGAAAAAAAGAAAACTCGACGTATAGATTTGCTTTTATATCACATTGCACTTTTTCTGTATAGGCATGAAATTTGCATTGTATATATTCTCACGAGCCACGCCATTCGGCGGCGCGTCATTAAAAACGATGACCGGGGTAATTAAGCCATCCACGAGTTTGAAGAGACACGTATACCCACACGTGTGTGTGTGTATCTACAAGCCGTACTCCTTGACGAGATTACCAGCTATGACCAGTCGTTGGATCTCGGAGGTGCCCTCGTATATCTCGGTTATCCGGGCGTCCCGGTAATGACGCTCCGCGGGCATGTCGGTCACGTATCCCATCCCCCCCAGTATCTGGATGCACTGGTGGGCGCAGAAGGTTGCCGCCTCGGACGCGGACAGCTTGGCCATCGCAGCTTCCTGAAACCATCAACGAAGCCCCCCGAGGTCAAGGCTTAATTTCCAGCAGCGCGAGGGTAACGTCCCTACCTTGGTGTACGGCTTGCCCTGGTCCTTCAAGTGGGCGGCCCTCCACGTCAGCAGCCTCGAGCCCTCGAGCCTCAGAGCCATGTCGGCCAGCTTAGTCTGGATGGCCTGTAGTTTGATGATCGCGCTGCCGAAGGCCGTCCTCTTGCTCGCGTACTCCATGGCGCAGTCGAGGGAAGCTTGCGCTATCCCCAAGGCCTGGGATGCTATGCCGATCCTACCGGCGTCTGTGAAACAGGGACAGAGTTGACTCGAGGGTCTGACACAGTTGGTTGTTTGTGGACGAGCTGTTCTGAACTCCCTCGTGTCTTTAATTTCTTTCAACACGTGTGTTAATTGTATTAATTTTTTTTTTTCTGATTATATTTTACAGCCATTTCTGAGAACTGTGCCCAATAGGCTCTGCAATGCTGTGTTACTATGCACATAATATATGCTATCGTCATTGGCAAAGTGAAAAACCACCTCAGATTTAATTGTGACATCAATCACTTGCATACCAATGGGGACATCTTAGTGTACATGGCTTTCGAATCATCGACCCACAGGTGAAAAATACGCACATCAAAAATTAATTTCCCAGAGTAAAGACTTGGTGTCTCGAACTCGTGAGCATGTGTTACCAAAACCTCGAGCTACAAGAACTAGTCTAAACCACTGTGGAGGACAAAATTTTATCAGCAACACAAGTCAACGAAGCTAGCAGCCAAATTGCAGCAGCGGTACCGTTAAATAACAACTTTGGGTATACCCTTTAAGACTAGACCAGGTATACCATCCTAATTAAGTAGTATAAAAGGGTATCCTGTTGCTGCAGTTTGGCTGCTACATTACTGAACACCCACCCAGAGACATCATGGCGATCTTGAACCCCAGACCGGGTTCCCCGAGGAGGTTTTCGGCGGGCACCAGGCAGTCCTCGAATATGAGGGAGCATGTGCTGCTGCCCCTGATGCCGAGCTTGTCCTCCTTCTTCCCCAGGGCGAGACCCTCGGTTGGCTTGTCGACCACAAACGCGCTGATGCCCTTGTGCTTCTTGGACTTGTCGGTGGTCGCGAACACGACTATACCCCCAGCCTCGTACGCGCTGGTGATCCAGGACTTGGTCCCGTTGAGGACGTACCCGTCGCCGTTTTTCTTGGCCACGGTCGATGCCGCCCCCGCGTCCGAGCCATTGCCGGGCTCGCTCAGGGCGAACGAGCCAACCCTGCGGCCGCTGGTGAACGGCCGTACGTACCTTTCCTTCTGCTCGGGGCTGCCGAACTTCTCGATGGGCCCCAGGTATAGGGAGTTGTTGACGCTCATGATGACCCCAGCGCTGGCGCAGCCGCGCGATATCTCCTCCATGGCTATGGCGTAGGCGAGGTAGTCCAGGCCCGCCCCTCCCAAGGACTCGGGCGTCGTTATGGCCATTAGGCCCAGTTCGCCCATTTTTTTTATCTGCTCCTCCGGGTACAGGTGCTCCCGGTCGGTTCTCGCGGCCCTGGGTTTCAGCTCGCCCTCCGCAAAGTCCCTGTGGAAATTCATCGTTGGGGGTTTATTTTCGATTTTTCTTTTTTTTTATTTTTTTTCGTTTAATACAGCGGGTTTGATAGTTTTTGGTTTTATGGACTGTAATCGCTTCCTCGTCTCAGTCCGGACAATGATTGTCACTCCGCCAGGGCATTTTTGCGAGTTTTGCTAAACATTACTTGGTATTTTTTTGTTACTTGTGCCATATTGCCTTCCAAAGCACGAACCAAGAAAGAAAACGATCACTTGTAAGTAGTACCTATATGTAACTCGATTTTTCGAAACTTTTCCATTTTCTTTCCCGATCGTGATTTTTCGAGGAATCGGACACGTATACGTAATGTATACAGACACACGTATGTATATGTTCGTGTGTCTGTATCGATAGACACACTTTGGGTTAAAAACCTCTGGGATATTGTAACTCTCGGCGCTGTTCTTACACTGAAAATAATCAAAACTCTCGATCGATCGGTTTCGAGGAGATGAGCAACTTTGCACAAAAAAAAAAAACGAACGTAATAAGCAAAACTTACCTGCACGTTTTTTGAAGCATTTGATGGGTTTCCGGCAAACTTGACAAAGAGGCGATGCCCCGGCGGCCACATACTTGAAACAGCGATCTACACACACCTGTGACATAAATTGATTAATTTGCGAAGTTCAACATTATGATCGATATCACTAACCGTGAAGAATATGGACACTTGAAAATTAATTTTGGTAAACTTTCATGCATATCGAACGTGTCATTTATGATATTGAAAAGAAATTGCGATAAAAAAAAACAATGCTTTGACTCGACTTCGCGATAACTATCGTCTTGTAAAAAATTGGCCGATCACATAATACTGCACACGACACAAAAGCACAAAAAATTATACGCAAATTTTTTTTTACGTGCACAGTTATTGTGCGCGTACGTGTCAAAAACTCCCACTATTAAATGTGGGATTGAAAGCTGCACCATGATTTCTTTTTGACGTAAAAATAGACAAGACTCACCCAACATTTTGAAGGAAAAAAAAAAATGAAAAAAAATTGAAGCTTTCCCGGAGCCGAGTGTGGTTCTTTTGGAGTGCTGAGAGCGACTGACGGACTTTGACCAGCCAACGATATTTACAAATATGCATGTGGCTACTATATAAAGTGAAAATAAAATGTATGTGTATAACATATACTTGATTGGCTCTTGGCTGACATCCGCTCTCTTACCGTATGTTGTGTGTGTGCGTGAGAGACGAGCAACACTTTTGCCGGCGGTTTCGAACACTGCAAAGTGTGGCCACCGTGTAGGGAGAGAGTAATTCGGTCTTGGAGTTGGTACAGCGCGTTCTTCAAAGATGGCACAGTAGGTATCAATCTAGGAACGAGGTGCTCTCTTTGGCTGATGAGCTCTGCAATTGTGCTTTGAAAATCACAGATTTCATCATTTTAATGATTAGGATACAAATTTTTGAAAATGTTGAGAAACGTTGTTAAAGTTTTGTCCACTGCATTTTGTGACTAATAATCACTCCTTAGCTTCTTTCGCATGACTTGCCATTTTATTGGCCATCAAGGTGTCACCGTTTAGTTTACACTACGTTTGATTTTTACTTCTTTGACTTTTGTCTTAATTTAGTTATTTTCATTAAAACTCGTTATTACTATTCGCGAGTATCTTAGCTTTAGTTTCTAAGTTTTGCCTATAAAATATGTTTTACATCTGTATTTTTCTTTTGTAAGTATCGATATTTCTATAATTGCTGTTTTGTTAGTCCAAGTCCTTGCAACTTATCGCTATTGTGACTTTTAATTTCAATCATCTGATTCTCTAATTGGCACAGCTAAATCTTTATGTTTGTAATTTTGCATCAGTATCTCCCGACACTATCCCGATATTATCTCTCCATTTCTACATATCTATTTCTTTTTTCGTCCTTTTGTAATTCTTTTCACGGTATCTCCTTATTGTGTTTGTCTCTATGTCTCTATTTGTGTGTCCAACCTGTTAATATGTATTTTGAAATGTGTAACTCTACTTTGGTATGGTTATCTTTAGTTACAATATATTAATCTTGTGCATATTCATCTCAATATAGACGTTTTATGCTTTTGCATCATATCTCTTAAAAATTTTTTTTCCTTCGTCTTTGTATTCGTTAGTATAAAATGTATCAAAATAGATAGTCTTTGTATTTGTAACTGTAATTATGTGTTTGCTTTTCTAAATGGAAGGGTATGTCTTACATCAATTTTCAGAACATAGTTCTTTATGTCGCGTTACTCGGGGGGCTGGAATTTTAAAACCGACAAATTTTTTTTTTTTGAAACGAAAGTGGTTTCACCCGAAGTCTCTTCCTCTCAAGTCTCCCCCCTTACCCCGTCCCCCTCACCAACTGTTCTCTATACACTTCCCCTCTCCCCACTGTACATGTATATCAGCCAACCATGCCGTGTTACTGTTCTGCACACCTTTACCCACCATACCTCCTCACACTTTTAATTTTATTTTCCCCCAATAATTTTTATTTGACTTTGAATTTTTATCTTTTACAATTCTAAACAAAAAAAAAACATTTTCCAATAAAGAGATTTCAACCCTCGACCTCCTGCATATTAATATGAGTCCAGTACCTTACCCACTCTGCTACGAGCACTGCCGAGATGGACTCGATTTCTTGTACTTATCGTGTGGTTCGTAACTATAACATTCCATTTTTAAATGTATTCACTGATAATACATTCAATTATGTATTTGTTTTCTAAATAATACATCTAAATTTGTTTTCTAAATAAACCGTCTGAAAAAAAAAAAAAAATTAAAATAACATGTAGAATAGAGTTAACGAACGTATCAACTGAAGAACGTATCAATGGTTTTTAAAGGCGCTTATTTTGAATTCGACAAACAAAAGGTGCTTACTTCGAATTTGACAAACAAATTATGTTACATTATCACATAATTATATAAATAAAGTAAATCGTTAAAATAATTATGAATGAATTATGTAAGATCACAATATAAATATAATTCGAGTTTCATATCATTTTAATGGTTTTTAAAGGCACTTATTTTCAATTTGATAAACAAATAATGGCACAATGTCATTGAGTAATTATATAAAAATAAAACAAAAATTG